GTGAGATAGTTTTGGGATCCTCATTCCTCATGCTTGGGGAAATACCTGGTGGGTGGGGGACACCCCCTCATCCACCTGGCTCTATGTTCTTTCTTGTGATTTAATTGGGATTGCCCTTCCTCATACTCCAGGAAACACCTGGTGGGTGAGGGATGCCCCTCATTCACCTGGCTTTGTGTTCATGTAAAAGTTTTGTGATTTAATTGGGATTGTTCTTCCTCATGCCTGAGGAAACACCTGGTGGGAGGGGAACACCCCCTCCTGCACCTGGCTCTGTGTTCATGTGAAAGACTTTTAAGACTGTCTGTGTAAAATTTGGGGATAAATACCCGCTGTAAGTTCCAATAAACGGCTTCTGCTCAATCTGTTGAACAGTTGTCCACTTTCTTTCTCTTTCTTTCTCTTTATATCTTTCCCTCCATCTTTCTTTCTTTTAATATCTATCCCTCCTAAGAATCGGCTTCTGCACTAGACAGAGTCCAGTTTCTTTCTTTCTCCCCCAGTCTCTTTCTTTCTTTTAATATCTATCCCTACAGAATCGCCGACACCACCACACCTTCCAAGGGACCCCCCACAAATCTCTTTGCAGGGGCTGGCCCCCCACAGCCCTGCACCTCTTTCTGCTCCAAGGCGCCCATGCTCCCAAGTGTCCCTCCTGCCTCAGCCCTATTTCCTCTCTGACCTGCCCTCGCTTTGCCACACCCCCCTGCTCACTACTCTGCACCTCAATGGGCACACACTCCCCGGCCTGCACAACTGCTGTTGCCAGCTCAGGAGACCTGGGGCACTCTTCCCACATGCCCCTTCTTGAACCCCACGGCACCTTTGCAGGGACCCTTTTCCTGCCGTCCCTCCTCTGCTTCAGTTTGCCCCATAGCACCGTCCTTCTGTGTCCTGGTGCTTTCCACTTCACACCTGCCCTCATCACCAGCATGTGAGCACCTCGAGGCAGGGGGTGTCGGGTTTTTATCACCAAAGCGTTCAAGTGATTAGAACAGGTTCTGCCATGGTGGCCACATTTGTCAAATGAACAAAGGAAGGATAAGTGACTCACCTGTGAGTCATTTTTCTTTTTCAGAGCATGATGATAATATTTGTGCTCACTGATTTACACTCATAACTAAAATTAAGTTCGTCATTCTTTGAAGTGAAGACATTTGCTAGCCTTCTGGGGAAAGTGTAAGCAATGGGCAAGTTTACACCATATTCTTTCATGCAACAACTGCTTAACAAGTGATGACTCTGCTGGGGTTGCTGCACTGGGGTCCTGGACCAGCGGAAGAAGACAGGTCTTGTCCCCATCCTTGGGCTCATGGTGCAGTGCCCACGGCACACACAATCAAAGCCACCAGGCGAAGAAATGTACAATAGCTCGACTAAGGACAGGGCGGTGAGGTGCTCCACGAGTGGACACGAGGGGGCAGCAGAGCTTGCCTCGTTGGGCCTTCAAGGGGCTGGGTAGAGGACAGGGCCCCAACTCTGGGAAGAGGAGCACAGCGAAGTCCAGGGGCCAAGAGGACAAAGGGATGGGGCAAAGAGCAGAGGGCAGCACCGTCCAGGGGAGGCTGGAAGGGAGGCTGCCCATGCTGGCCTCAGGGACAGAGTAGGCGCCTTATCCTTAAAAGCAGCAAGAAGTCACAGGAGGAGTTTTAAATGAGGACACAACTGATCTGCATGTGGAAAAGATGCCCTTCATGCATTAGCTCATGTTAAATGTGAATGTTTACAATACTGGATGTTTTCAGGACTCACCATATCGAAACGGGATTCCTCCTCTTCCTTTGTTAGACCCCTACTTGTGTTGGGCTGCTAGAGCGCCTCTGGTTTCAAGTTACACTGCACAGAACTATTAGGGACCAACAGTATGGATCAGAAGCAGGGGTGTGGATTTACAACCCCAGGGTTCCCCACCTTTGAGCTCCCCCAAGGTTCCTCCAGGCTCTCTAAGTTTCCCCCTGAGCCTCAGCTGCCACAGGAGTGTTCCGTGGCATGCCAGCTTTATTGAGACACCCAGCCATGCACAGCCGACCTGCATAACACACTGTCCCTCACCCTCCCTGCCTCCACTTGGGCAAAGCTGGCTAAGGTTGAAAGGGAGGGCTTTCCACACTCAAAATTCAGCCTTCCAGACCAACAAAAGACATCTGGGCCCTCTGCACCCCTGATCAATCCACCAGCTTGGAAATTGCAAGCTGGCCGAGCCTCTGATACTGCAGGGAGTGTAGAGGCCTCCTGTCCTCCAGCTGCTCCCCTTGGGCGTATTGAAACATCATGTGGTCCTTTAGTCAACTGCCTCCATGTACAGAAGAACGGGCAATAATTGCAAAAGGCTTCATCAAAATAATAGGATTCTTCCTTCTCCTGGGTGAGCAGCACCAAAAACTGACTCTACTTCAACTAAGGTAAGGAACACCCAGAGCCAACCCCACAGGTCACGGAGTGAGAAGCCTTCCAAAGGCCACTGCTGTCCCCCACTGGAACCAGGGGACCATGGTTTCATCATCCTGCCTCTCCTGGCAGCATGGAATTCTCAGTAAATACTAATGTTTTATTTTTATAAAGCATGGATTCACATTAAAGTTACTTGTCTCCATAACGCTAACCATTCCACTTTAGAAGGAAAGACACAAACATCACAATAAGTAGCAAAGTCACCATCAAAATTCCATCTTAGTTCTGTGGTTCCAAACAGTTTTTTTTTTTATTTCTCCCCAACAAACAAGGATTGTGCCCCTTGAGTTCACTTCACTTCTATAACAGAAGTGTAGATACCAAAATATGGTCTTAATTTTGCTGCTTTTAATTACAAACATACAGAACATTCACTTTCAAGAATATTTTTAGAAGCATTTCTAAATTACCTTTAAAAATTAAAGACTATAGCAATATACAAAGAGCTTAACAGTGGGAATAAATTTCTCAAGCACTGAAACATCTTATATGAAAACTAAGGTATGAATAAGAAAACAAAATAACAAGTAAATTTCTTTTTTTTGTATCAGTCATATTGCGGCATTTTGGCAAACATCCAATTCCACCAAGATTATTATGGCTACAATTATAGACTTTGAAAAGTGAAGAGGGATTTCTTTCCATGGTCTGTGAAGCAGCAATTACAGTAAAAGCATCCTATCATGACCATCTTTTCAAAGGCTAAAGAGGACCATTTTGAGAACAATGCTAAGGCATTTTCACTTCTGAAAGTACATCATCAAAGTTCAATACTCCATTCTTTGGCAAATCAGTAAACTGAGGTAAATTGAAACTACTCAATGCTCATCCACCCTGAAAATTATCTTCCTGCAAGATCAGAGGAATGATCAATTCAGAGGGAACATCCCATTAACTCCAACGATTTCAGATGGGTGTGAGTGGCCATGAAAATGGCGAACTACTTTAGACACTGGGACCTCATAAAGCAGTTTCCAAAGTGAGATTTTTTAACGCTTAGGTAGATCATTGAGAATTTTATCTGAAGCTGAAGTTTAAAAATACGACTGAATCTTTTATGATTAAACTTTGAAGAACCTGAAGTATTTTATTAAACCAATGGACCGAAATCCAGGGCTCCCTAAAAATCTCTGGGAGGCCATCACTTTGTACATGAGTGAGTGGTGGCTGGAGCTGGAAGAGTCTTTGACATCACGTAACCCCCAATGGAGAACAAGAAAATTGAGTACTCACCATCTGAGGCACACCAAAAATAACAACGTTCGAGTACTGCGAAAAAGTTACCTAAGTGAGGGCAGGGAAACAGTGGGTAGATTAATTCCAAAAAGCCAAACATTACTTCACTAGTTTCACAACAATAAGCAGCAATTCCATTTTGCCAAATAGTGGGTTTTGATAAACTCCTCAAAGAGTGGCTCTCTTTAAGATTGCCCAAGGAAAAGAATGCATGTTAATGCTTTCATCCGTGTGGCTTCAACCCAGAACAGCTTTCCAAATGCTTCTGCATGTCTCTCATCTGATCCCCATGGTGACTCCCGCCCCAGCGGTCAGGCCTTATGAAGGCCAGTAACCCCCAGTGGCCAGCTGGTGGTGGAGCCAGTGGCACTGGAGACCTGCATCCTTACTCCACCTCACTCTACACCAAACTAGCTTCGCAAGAACTCAAGGGACTTCAGAGCCATCTGTTCTTTACGTTGAAACTTACTTAAAATCCTAGTCCCCCTCCTCTTCTCTAAATACTAAGTAAAAATGGCAATAAAATGGTCTTTAGTTGAAAAACTGGGAGAGAAAAGTGCTTTGACAGTGAAAATTCTTATTGCCCAATAAAAGTCTTATTTACTCTATAGAGAGATCGTTTATGTATATGTGGTTCAAAAAACAATGCAAGCAAAACTCAAGTGAGTTTTTATAAGCTACCAATGACAATATTACAATGGAAAATTCTTGTTTAAGAAAAAGCATTTTATGGAACATTCTTAAAGCAAAATTACAGGGCACTTTCAGAGTACAAATAAAGTTAAAAGTATCTTATATTTTATGAGGACAAGAAATAACCATGACACCAAGACTGGTGGATTCGGTTCTCTATCACTCATCTCCAGATCTCTCTAAATATATAAACACACAGAGAGAAGTCTAATATTTATCAAAAATAAGATGTAAGATTTGCAAATGAGATTTTAAAATCTCATTATTCTGTAATAAACAAAAAATGAGTACATATTAATTCAGTAAATAAATTCTTGAAATTTATATAAGCTATCATATAGCAAACTTTAAACTTCTGTTCTAGTCTCTTTGTAAAATCTATCAATTTAAAATGTATACACATTTCATTATGCCAAATATTCACTTGGATTTTAATTGATTTTCTTTTTTCTTTTTTTTTTTTTGAGACAGGGTCTCACTATATCACTCTGTCACCCAGGCTAGAGTGCAGTGGCATAATCATGACGATCGCACCTCACGGCAGCCTCGACCTTCTAGGCTCAGCTGACTCTTCCACCTCAACCCACCAAGTAGCTGGAGCTACAGGTGTGCACCACCACAACTGGCTAATTTTTTAATTTTTCTGTAGAGACGAGGTCTCACCATATTTCCCAGGCTGGTCTCAAATGCTGGGCTCAAGCCATCTACCTGCCTTGGCCTAGCAAAGTACTGGGATGACAGGCAAGAGCCACAACGCCCAGCCATTTTAAAACATTCTTCAGTTTATGGTCATCTTAATTATGAATAACAGAATTTTCCAATGGATTTCTCTAGGGAATTATCTGCTTTACATACCTTCCATAAATCCGAAATACAGAATTTGACAGAGCCATGCACACCCTCTCGCCAAGCACGGTATCTGGAATACCACACCAGCCACGGATTTAATTCATAGCCAACTGCTGTGAATCCTTCCTTTGCAGCTGCGATTACCTGCAGAGAGAGGCCAGGATTTATTCAAAACAAGAAGAAAAAAAATCAACATACATGGTCAAATGATATGAATATTTCCTATTTATGGTTTACAACAGCTAATCACAAAGTCCCTCCTTTGGCCAACACATCTGTTTTGTTTTGTTTTGGAGTCTCACTCCGTCGCCCAGACTGGAGTACAGTGGCCACTCCCGGCCACTGCAGCCTCGACCTGCTGGGCTCCGGTGATCCTTCCGCCTCAGCCTTCCAAGTAGCTGGAACTACAGGTGCCCGCAACCACGCCCGGCTAATTTTTGATTTATTGTAAAGATGAGGTTTCACCAAGTTGCCCAGGCGGGTCCTGAACCCGCGGGCTCAGGCAATCCACTCACCTTGGCCTCCCAAAGTGCGGGATTACAGGCTGAGCCACCGAGCCCGGCTCCAAGACATCACTTAACAGTGTGTACTTACAGGCCGAACATGGTGACTCATGCCAGCACTTTGGAAGGCCGAGATGGGAAGATTACTTGAGTCCAGAAGTCCGAGACAAGCCTAGGGAACATATTGAGACCCTATCTCGACAAAAACTAATTATCCAGGCATGGTGGCACACGCCTGTAGTCCCAGCCACTCGGAAGGCTGAGGTGGAAGGATCACCTGTGCCCAGGAGGTTGAGGCTGCTATGAGCTGTGATCATACCACTGCAGGCCAGCCTGGGTGACAGAATGAGACCGACTCACTAAAATTATTTAACTTTGTGGACAAGGTAATAGCCAACGCATTTAAACTCAGTTTTCTTGTTTTTGTTAAAGATTTCATCTCCAGTATCAGAATAGATATTCGGGTTTGCTTTGGACAACTGCATCATTAATTCTGCATCATCCAACCCCTGCTTGGATCTAACAAGTGGTTGCTGGAGTCCACTGCATCCACCAGGGAGCTAGCACAGCAGTGGGCAAATGAACACGCCTGGGAGAATGGCTTTGTGAAAATGGATTTTTAATGATACAGAACAAAAATAAAATGTCATTGAAAAATCGGCAATGCTACATTATTTCCATAGTATTTAATGATTACTCACTCAAAATTGAAAACAAGAGTAAAATGGGACCAGGCACAGTGGTTCATACCTGTAATCCCAGCACTTTGGGAGGCCAAGGCAGGAGGATCGCTTGAGGCCAGGAGTTCAAGACCAGCCTGGGCAACATAGTAAGACCTCATCTGTACAAAAAGTTAAAAAATTAACTGGGTGCGTTTGTGTGCTCCTGTAGTCCCAACTACCCAGGAGACGGAGGCGGGAGGATCACCCGATCCCAGGAGGTCAATTTGAGGCTGCGGTAAGCTGTGATTATGCCACTGCACTCCAGCCTGGGTGACAGAGTGAGATTCAACTCAAAAAAAAAAAAAAAAAAAAAGTAAAATAGAATAGGTCAGAATAAAGTTCACTATGAAACCCCACCAGCCCTGTACACTGGGAAGGTTACCTCCCACCTGTCTTACCCCATTCCTGAAGGGAGTATCCCACCTTGAGATTTCCTAAGTATCTACAGGGCTGCAAGGAAATCATTCTTTTTCTTTTCTATTTTTAGAGACAGGGTCTTGAGTAAAGTGATAAGATCACAACTCACTGCAGCCTCAACTTCCTGGGTTCAAGCAATCCTCCAGCCTCAGCCTTCCAACTAGGTGAACTACAGACACTCCCAGTTAATTTTTTAAATTTTTTATAGAGATGGGGATCTCACTGTATTGCCCAGGATGGTCTTGAACTCCTGGCTTCAAGCAATTCTCCTATCTCAGCCTCCAAAAGTGCTGGGGTTACAGAAGTGAGCCACCACATCTAATTGAAATCATTCTTAGAAACTAGAAACATACATTTCAAATATGTAAAGTACTCAAATATAGATCATAAAACTTCCTCCTGATTAATACTTATGTCTCCCAACTTCTTAAAAACAAACATAGCCGGGCTCGGTGGCTCAGCCTGCAATCCCGCACTTTGGGAGGCTGAGGTGAGTGGATTGCCTGAGCCCGCGGGTTCGAGACCTGCCTGGGCAATTTGGCGAGACCTCATCTCTACAATAAATCAAAAAAATTAGCTGGGTGTGGTAGCGCGCACCTGTAGTTCCAGCTACATGGAAGGCTGAGGCGGAAGGATCGCCGGAGCCCAGCAGGTTGAGGCTGCAGTGGCCAAAAGCGGCCACTGCACTCCAGTCTGAGTGACAGAGAGACTCCAACTCAAAAAAAACCCCAAAAACATTAGTGGTTTCTAGAGGCTAGGGGGAGGACGAGAATGAGGAGTTATTGTTTAATGGCTAAAGAGTATCAGTTTTGCAAGGTGAAAAGTGTTCTGGAGATAAGTGGTGGTGACAGTGGCACACGGGTATGAATGTGCTTAATACTGAAGTATATACCTAAATAGCGTCAAGATGGAAAATATTATGTATGTGCATTTTAAAACAACTTTAAAGGTGAAAATATTTCATTAATTTTAAAATATTCATCAATTGTTACCACCTCCCTGATCATTCTAGGTAGGAATGATCCAGGTAGGATGCTGTGATTCCAAGTCAGAATCACAAAATCACAGGCTCTGTGTGCACAAGAGCTGGTGGACAGGGATGTGGCCCATACCAGCCTTTCCCACACTGCCTTCACTTGTTGACTTATCAGGGTGATACCTAAGGACGGTGCCACCCTGCCTATGGAGGAACATGCTCTGAGCCACCCGCTTGCCAGTCTGAGTGACAGAGAGAGACTCCAACTCAAAAAAAAAAAAACATTAGTGGTTTCTAGAGGCTAGTGGGAGGACGAGAATGGGGAGTTATTGTTTAATGGCTAAAGAGTATCAGCTTTGCAAGGTGAAAAGTGTTCTGGAGATAAGATTATTTATAGACTGCTGGCTGGGGAAGAAGTGAGATGAGGTCACTAAGAGGCAGATCTTTGGCTGAGTGGGGGTTAGTCACTGACTGTTCCTGATTTTAACTCCGGTTCCCCACAGGAACTGACTTGCACATGTAGAAATGCTGATAAATACAGAAGAAAACCTCTATGCAAAAATGTAAAAGAGTGATGATTTAATCCATGATTTAAATGTTTCTTCTCATTATGCCGCCTCTGTCGGCCCAAGCATTTTAACAATTTGATAATTACCAATTAATTGTTCCTTTTTACCTGGTATGTCCACAGAGTGCTTTCTCCTTTAAGAGAAAACTAAATCTAGGAAAAACAAATTCCATATACAAGTTGGTGATTTAAGAATTTGGCAAAAAACACAAACTGAAACTTTTTCAGGCTGTCAGATTTTAGCAAGTCTTTGCAAGCTTCATTAGAAATGTAAAGCTAGCCGGGCTCGGTGGCTCAGCCTGTAATCCCGCACTTTGGGAGGCTGAAGTGAGTGGATTGCCTGAGCCCGTGGGTTCGAGATCCGCCTGGGCAACTTGGTGAGACCTCATCTCTACAATAAATAAAAAAAATTAGCCGGGCGTGGTAGCGTGCGCCTGTAGTTCCAGCTACTTGGAAGGCTGAGGTGGAAGGATCACCGGAGCCCAGCGGGTCCAAGCTACGGTGGCCGGAAGCAGCCACTGCACTCCAGTCTGGGTGACAGAGTGAGACTCCAACTCAAAAAAAAAGAAAGAAAGAAATGTAAAGCCAAAAGTCTAGCCACTCGGTTCCAAACCTCAAGGCGTCTTAGCATAACTCACGATGCGGCCGTCACCACTGCCGATGTCTACCAGGGATCCTCTTCTGCCTTGCAGCATTTTCATGACATTTTTTATCTGCCTTGTAGTTGCAGGCACGAAAGGCAAGCAGACCTTTCGGAGAGCAGGTGTTACGAAGGGCGTGGCTACAGCGTATACTGCTGCCAGGGTCCCCCCTACAATCCCAGTTAATAAGAACCCCCAATTGCTTTTCTTCAAACTGCTGGCTTCAAAACTTGCAGGGAGGATGTGTCTTGATGGAACTTCTTCCTGAAGTGTTTCTGGGGGTATTCCTAGATAAAGAACAAGCAGAAAATACACATGTAGCACCAAATCCAAAGTCCAGGATAGCATTTTTTCCTATAATTATTGACAAATAAACTCAAGCTTTCTAAAAAGAAAAATTTAACTGAATACAAACTAAGTGATCCCACAATGAGTTCTAAATTTCATTGACGAAATTTAAGTGCTTTAGAGAAAAGTATTCAATACTATTGGACTAAAATTTTTCTTTCTAACATATTGGCTTGTGTGCGTGTCTAGGAGTCATCTTGAGAAAACGACATATTCGGCCAGACACGATGGCTCACACCTATAATCCCAGCACTTTGGGAGGTGGAGATGAGAGGATTGCCTGAGCCCATAGGTTGGAGACCAGCCTGGGCAACTTGGCAAGACTTCATCTCTACAATACATTAAAAAATTAGCCAGGTGTAGTAGTGCACACCTGGAGTTTCAGTTACCTGGAAGGCTGAAGCAGAAGGATTGCCTGAGCCCAGCAGGTTGAGGCTACAGTGGCCATGAGCATGTCACTGCACACCAGCCTGGGTGACAGAATGAGATTCCAACTCAAAAAGAAAAAAGAAAACAACATATTAAAAGTTTTCTGGTAATTTATTAATTCAATATCCATTGGTGTAAGTTTTAAACATGAACCATTTTTATGGTCTGAATAAAGTCTCATAAAATAATAAGCATAAAATGTTTAATCATTACCCTATTTCAGGGTAGGATAAAAGGATTCCTCATCAAATTTGGTCTGGTATCTATAATCCAGTTGCACAAATACAACTTTAATAGAGAAGACAAAAATCAAGCTTTGACAAACATCTTCATAAGTATGGTTAATAAAGAGATGTTTAAAGCAGAGCCAGAAGAATAAAAATAATCATTTCAATACCGTCACGAGGATGGAATAAACAGACTCCAATCCCTGACTGCAGAGAAATGAATGGTCCCTTAAACATCCTCCTGAGTTTTATCCTTTGAAACACGTTCTTAATGGGATCTCACATTTTTGAAATTGCTATTGATTTGAAATTGACTTTGAAAGTGGTTAATGAAGAGCACAGTCCAGGAGGGGTGAGCAGGACTCCTCCAGAGCCAGCGAGGGCGGGAATCCAGCTCTGCCACTTACTAACGATGTGACCCTGAAGCCCTTCTCCTCGCTAAGCCCCGGTGTGCTCTTTGGATTTTTTTGTTTTTTGAGTCAGAGTCTCACTCTGTCACATCGGAGTACAGTGGCATGCTCATGGCCAATGCAGCCTCCACCTGCTGGGCTCAGGCAATCCTTCTGCCTCCGCCTTCCAAGTAGCTGGAACTATAGTGCACCACCACACCCAGCTAACTTTTTGATTTTTTTGTACAGACCAGGTCTCGCCAAGTTGCCCAGGCTGATTTCGAAACCCTCGGCTCAGGCAATCCTCTCACCTCCGTCTCCCAAAGTGCTGGGATTATAGGCGTGAGCCACCACGCCCAGTGGTGTGCTCATTTGTAAAGGGGGGGGGGGTCACAGGGTTATTGTGAGGATGGCATGAGTGTTTGCAGGTAAGACACTTAGAACAGTCAGACACAGTTACAGGAACCAGTAACTGTAGTTAGAAATGACCACAGAATGAGTGGCTTAAAGCAACACACATTTGCCATCACACAGTTCTGAAGGTCACCTGAAACAAGTGAGCAGGGTGGCACTCCTTCTGAGGTTCTAGGGCAGCAGTGGTTTGTCTCTTCCAGCTTCCAGAGACTGCCCATATTCCTTGGCCCTTGACCCCACATCACTCCAACCTCTGCTTCCATCACAGTATCACTGCATCTCACAGCCCTGTCTCCCTCTCTCGTTATAGAGATCATTGTGATGACCCAGGGCCCATCAAGATGATTCAAAATAATCTTCCACCTCAAGATCTTAAATCACAATCATTATGGGTTACAGGGATTAGAATGTGGACCTCAGTGGAACAGACATTATCCTTCCCAACACACCCCTGAACTGTGGCAATTCATTCTGGGGAGTTACAAATGTGACCACAAGACACACCAAAAGCTGGCACAAAGCTGTGAGTCACATGCCAGGGAGCTGGCTAGCACTAGCATCCCCACTCAGCACAGCTTTGTTCTGCTTGATTCTAGAGATCCATTAAAGTGAGTTTTTAAAATGATTTCACAGTGAAAAAGAAAAGTCTGCTACTGATGCTAGTGACAGAGGTAAAATAAAATTGGCTTTAGGGAGATGATAGTTTGGTAGAAAGCATATAAATTTGGCATTGTATGAAGGAACTCAAAGGCATATCTTGGAGATGTTATAGGTTCAGTTACAGACCACTGCAGTAAAGCAAATATTGCAATACACAAGTTACACAATTTTTTTTGGTTTCCCAATGCATATAAAAGTTATGTTTACCAGCTGGGGAAGGTGGCTCCCACTGTAATCCCAGCACTTAGGAAGGCTGAAGCAGGATAGCTTGAGCCCAGGAGTTTGAGACCAGCCTGGGCAGCATAGCAAGACCTCATGTCTACAAAAAGTTAAAAAATTAGCCAGGTGTGGTGTTGTAAGCCTGTAACCCCAGCTATTCAGGAGACATAGGAGGATTACTTGAGCCCAGGAATTGGAGGCTGCAAGGAGTTGTGGGTGTCACTACACTCCAGCCTGGGCAACAGAATGAAACCCTGATTCCACCCCCCCAAAAAAGTATGCTTACCCTATATTTCAGTCTATTAAATGGCAATAGCATCGTCTGAAAAATGATATACAGTAAATCCCCCACAAATGAATGAGTTCCATCCCAAGAGTGTGTTTATAAGTCCAATTTGTTCATTAAGTCCAACAAAGTTAGCCTAAGTACCCAGCTAACACAATTGTCTATATATTACTGTACTGTAATAGGTTTCTAATACTTTTCACACAAATAATAAATTAAAAACATACATACAAAAGCACAGCACTTGTAGAGGATGCTCGCACATGACAATATACACGAGACACATGCTAACCTACGTGATTGGACACGCAAACACGTTTGCGGCTTTGAAAGTTCTCAACTTTAAGGTTTGTATGTAGGGGAACTACTGTTCATACCTTAATTTAAAAATACTTTATTACATAAAAAATTTTTTTAAAAAACATGTTAACAATCATCTGAGCATTCAGTACATGGTACACCTTTTCCTGGTAGCAGGTCTTGCCTTGATGTTGATGGCTGCTGACTGATCAGGGTGGTGGGTGGTTGCTGAAGGCTGGAGTGACAACTTCTTAAAATAAAACAAGAACGAAGTTTGCTTCATCAATTGAATTCCTCTCACAAAAGATTTCTCTATAGCATGGGATGCTGTCTGATAGCATTTTACCCACAGTAGAATGTCTTTCAAAATTGAGGTCAGTCCTCACAAACTCCACTGCTACTTGACCAACTAAATTCATATAATATTCTAAGTCCATTGTTGTCATTTCAACAATGTTCATAGCATCTATGAAGAGTGGATTCCATCTCAAGAAAACTTTTCTTTCTTATCCATGAGAAAGCAAACTCTTCATACAATCATATTTTTATCATGAGCAATTCAGCCCAATCTTCAGGCTCCACTTCTCATTCTAAGTCTCTTGTTATTTCCACCTCATATGCAGTTACTTCCTCCACAGAAGTCTTAAACCCCTCAAAGTCATCCATGAGGGCTGGAATCAACTTCTTCCAAACTCCTATTAATGTTGTTGATACTCTGCCCTCCTCCCATGAACCATATATGTTCTTAATGGCATCTAAAATGGTGAAACCTTTCCAGGAAAGTTTTTTATCTACTTTGCCCAAATCCATCAACAGAATTACTATGGTTGCTATAGCCCTATGAAATGCATTTCTTAAATAACAAGACTTAAAGGTCAAAAGTACTCCTTGATCCATGGGCTGAATAATGGAATTTAGTGGCAGGCTTGAAAACATTAATCTCTGCAGGGCTCGATGGCTCAGCCTGTAATCCCAGCACTTTGGGAGGCCAAGGCGAGTGGACTGTCTGAGCCCACAGGTTCAAGACCAGCCCAGGCAACTTGGCAAGACCTCGTCTCTACAAGAAATAAAAAATTAGCCAGGTGTGGTAGCATGCATCTGTAGTTCTGGCTACTTGGAAGGCTGAGGCAGAAGGATCACCGGGGCCTGCAGATCGACACTGGGGTAGCCATGAGTGTGCCACGGCACTCCAGCCTGGGCAACAGAGTGAGACTCCAACTCAAAAAAAGGGAAAGAAAACATTAACCTCCTTGTACATCTTCATCAGAGCTTATGGGTAATAACTAGATGCATCGTCAATGTGCAGTTATATTTTGAAAGAAATCTTTTTTTCTGAGCAGTAGGTCTCAACAGTGGGCTTAAAATATTCAGTAGCATCAGATGAACTAAACCCCAGGCTACATTGTTCCATCTACAGAGCAAAAGCAGAGTAGATTTAGCATAACTCTTTGGGGTCCTAGGATTTTCAGAATGGTAAATGAACATTGGCTTCAACTTAAAGTCACCAGCTGCATTAAGCTCTTAACAAAAAATTCAGAGCTGGCACTGACTTCTCTCTAGCTAGGGAAGTCCTAGATGACGTCTTCTTCTAATCTAAGACTGTTTCATTTACATTGAAAATCTGTTGTCTATTGTAGCTACCTTCATCAATGACCTTGGCTAGATCTTCAAGAAAACTTGCTGCTTCATCTTGCACTTTTATGGAGATGCCATCTTTCCTTAAACTTCATGAGCCAACCTCTATTGGCTTTAAACTCTTCTTGTGCAGCTTCCTCTCCTCTCTCAGCCTTCACAGAATTGAAGAGAGACAGAGCCTTGCTCTCAATTAGGTTTTGACTTAAGGGAATGTTGTGGCTAGTTTAAGCTTCTATCCAGACCACTCAAACTTTCTCCATATCAGCTGTGACAAGGCTGTGTCACTTTCTCATCATTTGCGTGTTGTACTTTTAATCTCCTACAAGAACTTTTCCTTTGCAATCACAACTTGACTGTTTGGTACAGGAGGCTTAGCTTTCAGTCTGTTTCAGCTTTCGACATGCCTCCCACACTAACCATAGCCATTTCTAGTTTTTTATTTAAACTGAGAGACAGGTGACTCTTTCACTCAAACCCACTGTACGGTTATTAACTGGCCTAATTTCAATATTGGTGTATTTTGGGGAATAGGAAAGCACAAGAAGAGGGAGAGAGATGTGGGAATGAACCACGGGTGGAGCAGTCAGAACACACGCATTTCTCAAGTTTGCCATCTTATTTGGGCATGATTCAGGTGCCCCAAAACAATTACAATAGTACTATCAAAGATCATAGATCACCATAATATATAATAATAATGAAAAAGTTTAAAGAATTGTGAGAATTATCAAAATGTGACACAGAAACACCAAGTGAGCACACATTGTTGGAACAATGCTGTCAGCAGACTTGCTCAACATAGGGCTGCCACAAACCCTCAATTTGTAAAAAGCACACTACTGAGCTGGGTATAGTGACTTGGGTCAGTAGTCCAGCTGCTCGAGAGGCTGAGGCAGAAGGATCACTTGAGCCCAGGAGCTCGAGGCTGCAGTGAGCTATGATCACACCACCACACTCCAGGCTGGGCGACAAGAAAGGCTCTGTCTTTTAAAAACATTTATTTTTATTTTTGTGAGTCAGGGTCTCATTCTGTCACCCAGGCTGGAATGCAGTGGTATGATCACAGCTCACCACAACCTCCACCTCCTGGGCTTAGGTGATCCTTCCACCTAAGCTTCTCGAGTAGCTGGGACTACAGGCACACACCACCACACCCAGCTTATTTTGTTTTGTAGAGCTGAGCTCTCACCATGTTGCCCAGGCTGGTCTTGAACCCCTAGGCTCAAGCAATCTTCCCACCTCAGCCTCCCAAAGTGATGTGATTACAGGTGTGAATCCCCCAGCTAAAAACATTTATTTAAAGCATACTATCAAGAAATAAATTTAAAAAGCACACTACCTGTGCTGCAATAAAGGGCAGTATGCCTCTATATGCTGTAGTAGTAGTAGTCATGTATTTGATTATTTAAGAAAAGTTAAGGCATATTTGTCATGCCTTCTATAAACTATTATCCTGTGGGCATTCCAGTTGTATAGGATAGTATAAGAGGATTTGAGTCAACAGTTCTGGAGACTCAGATTTAACTAGTTGTTTAATACTAGGCAAGATGTTACTAAGGCATGGTTTTCTCATCAGTAAGATTTAAAAATAATTTTTTTTTACAATTCAAAATGTTAAAAAGAAAAAAAGATTTATCCATAAAATTATCCTCATAGTGTTACTGAACAGTTAAGTAATATATACAAAACATTTAGAACAGTTCTGATTGACTGATGATTATTAATTGCTATTATTCTTCTCAACACTGGCATTTTAGAGAAAGGGCTCAACTTTTAACAGCTTTGAGATACAATTTACATACATACAATTTGCCCATTTAACATGCACAATGTAATGGTTTTTTAAACTTCAGATATGCGCAACCACAATTTTAGATCATTCTCATCACCTCAAGAGGGAGCCCTTTATCACCCAACCACCCCCACCCCCCACAAGCAACCACTGATCTACTTCTTATCTCCAGAGTTCCCTATTCCGGACTTACTTGAGTGGAATCTCATTGTATGGGGTCTTCTATGACTCACATCTTTCACTTAGCATAATGTCTTCAAGATTCATCCAGTTGCACCTTATATCAGTTCTTTATTTCTTTTAATGGCTGAATAATATTCCATTGTTATAAACACAGCACATTCTGTCAACCCCTTTGGTCACTGAGTCTATTAAACAAACATGAGGCAAATGATCCAAGTTCTAATACTGCTGTGTAGACATGTACTTTTCAACTCAACCAGCAGAAGGTATAATAAAGAGCACTTGGTCTCATCTAGCCTTGTGTGTGGTGCAGTCCAGCAGAAGCAAACACAGGCCAGGCTGTGAGAAATGCTAACATGATAAAAGCACTGTGGGAAAATGGGGGGAAATGGAGGAAAGACTGGTCCCAACGATGGAACCAGTAATTTGTTGAAAGAGACAGAATTGGAGCTGGAGGCAAAAGGAGCCAGCCTGGGAACCAAGGCACGGAAGGTGGAGGGAGGTTTTGCTGAGTACAGGAGATGAACAGGAAGGTGGGTCTTTAATAAGCCAGGCTGTTTCATCCTGGATGCATGGCAATGAAGCTCTCTGAGCAAAGTCACTACAATATTTGTGATTTTTAGAAAAGCAAGGCCAGCAGTAGCATATCCCTTTTTGAAATCACTCAATTTTTTGCCTCAAGTTTTTATGCCTGCAAAAGTCTTTCAACCTCACGAACACTTGTATGGGGAAAATAAGACCCACACCTGCTGCCTGAGCTGTGGAAGAAGTTACAGTGTAAATCCAGTATGTGACTACATCATTAGCTCCGTTCAATAAAAAAAGTATTGATTATAATCAGTAAAAACCAGTTCCTGAACATTCAAAACAAAGATCAAGATTTGTCTCTATACATCTTTTTAATGAAATGTGTTTGGATTCCCAAGACTAATATAAATAAGTGGCAGGAGTTGTCTGCCAGTGGCGCCCTTTGGAACAAGCCACTTTCTTAAATAAGAGCAGAGATGGCTACTGGCTATATTTGATGAGCACTTAGAAGGAGTCGATCTTTGAAAGTAAAAGACAGGATGAGGTTAACTCCCACTGTCTCCAGGCCCTAGTCCGGTTACTGATTTCCAATACTGGCTGAAAACCTCAATTCCCAATGACAGATTTGGATCAGCTGAAGCTAGAGGCAGTGACTGAGCAGCACAAAAAGGTACACAGGTTTCTTAGCCAAGTTCAAGCCCAAGGAAAAAGGCCAGGAAGAAAACACAGGCCTATTCGGAATTGCGGCCAGTCAGGCGTTTATATTTAAATGTCACAATATTTAAGGGCTGTTCATTGTGCACTTGTATATGTATACTAATTTTTATTTTAGTTGGGGGTCTCACTCTGTCGCCCAAGCTAGAGTGCAGTGGCACACAATCATGACTCACTGCAGCCTCCGATTCCTGAGCTCAGGCGATGCTACCACCTCAGCCTACCAAGTAGCTACAACTATAGGTGCATGCCACTATGCCCAGCTAATTTTTAAAAATTTGTTGTAGAGATAGGTTCTTCCTATGTTGTCCAGGGTGGTCTCAAAGTCCTGACTTTAAGCAATCCTCCTGCCTCAGCCTCCCAAAGTACTGGGATAAAACCATGAGTCACTGCAGCCAGCCTACTTAATGTAGATTCTTATGTCTCTTAAGAAGCCTTGCTTGTACTAATGTCATTTGTGTCAGCTATTGATATTAGGAAAAAGTCCACCCCCTCCCCTGCAGTGTTTTGACAGGGAATAAACTGCGTAAAAGATGCCATTAGACATCTATTTTCACAAGTTAACGGGCCAAATGGATTGCAGAATTCACCATTTTTAACAAGGAAACACTCAATCAGCAAAGCTAAAATGAAATGAGATCTGACTCTAAAATCTAAAATGTCTAGACAGTAAGTGAGCCAAGCATTAGGAGAGGCTGATTGATTGATCACCAACTATCCAAAGTCAGTTCTTGACTTTCAGGTCAGGATTAAATGTTATAACGCATGCATTTGTTTCAATATTTATTGAATACTTAATAAAGGCTGGGAATCATACAGCAGGGTAAGTCCTGGCCTGTGGCAATAGGAGCGTAAGAGAGGCTGGAAACCCACAGCAAGTAAGTCTAACCCTATGAAAGATTAGGTCGTGATCGTTGAGGAAAAAGCAGTATAAGGAATTTAAAGGACAGGGTCCTCCTACCTAGTTAAGGTTTCCAAGAAGGATCTCTCTGGCAGGTGAGGTGGCTCTCGCCTGTAATCCTAGCATTTTGGGAGACCAAGACCAGAGGACTGCTTGAGCCCAGGAGTTCCAGGCTATCCTGGGGACCATCCTGGGCAACATGGCAAGACCCCATTTATTTAAAAAAAAAAAAAAAAATTAGCAGGGCGCGGTGGGGCGGGTCGGTAGTCCCAGCTATGCAGAAGGCCGAGGTGGAAGGGCCTGAGCCAAGCAGTAGGAAGCTGTGGGGAGCTGTGATCGTGCCACTGCACTCCAAACTGGGCAACAGAGACCCCAACTCAAAAGAAAAGAAAAAGTAAAGAAAGGAAGAAAGAAGGAAAAAAGAAAGGTCTTTCTGAAGCAACACGACCCAGGGCTTCAGAGTGGGACCATGGCACCAGGATGTACGACTTTGCCTTTTACTGTGTAACTCTATGCAAGTTACCAGACCTTGTGCAAAAAGTGGATTTATTGAACAAACTCTTAAACACAGCTTGCTGAGAGCCAAACACTGTTCTCCTTGAATGCTTTCAGGCGTATCTACCAAGGCAGACACTCTTGCTATTCCAGCTGTTTTTGCAGACTAGAAAACCAAGACACAAAGAGTTCAAGTAACCTCCCCAAGGACACACACAGCTAGTCAAAGTGGCAGAGCTGTGATTCCAACCCAGCAGTGCGGCCAGTATCCCTACCCTTTTAGAGATTGCTGAAGACTAAGTCACTTGTCCTAAAGCACTCAAAACAGTCCCTGGTAGATAGAAACTAGCACAGCAAACGCGCCCGGAGCCCACGATCCGAGGACGGGGCTCGAGCAGGGCGGGAGTGCACGGCAGCCAGAAGCACCTGCACCCAGCGCCAGGCTGCGAGCCGGAGCTACCGCCCGAGGGCTGCCGGGGCTCCCACGCCCGCCCGGCCCCCGACACGGGCTCGACAGCGGCGATGTCTGCGGGTAGCGAACCCAACGTCCCGCACGCAGCCCATCCCGACGCCAGAATGAGCCCGCCATGCTGTTCCAACCTCACCTCCTCCCTCCATCGCGAGATTTCCAGCTGTTATTTAAAAAAAAAAAAAAAAAAAAAAAAAAAAAAAAAAAAAAAAAAAAACCGGAAGTGGGCTCTACCATCTTCTCAGAGCCAAGGTGGAAAGAAATGAAAAAGATAATGCTTTAATTGAGTTCTTCGTTAGGACCACTATTCCGAAACTTTACATTGTAAAGTTTCAGGAAATGACTGAACCAAATCTGCTACTAACTTGTGGGTTCTAAAATTTTGGGTCAGTGCCTTTCAAACTTCCCCCCACGGCTCCCCGGATGATAGAGGTTTCCGAAGGACGCCGATTCCAGAAGGTACGGTCTGGCGTGAAACTAGTCGCAGTTGAAAAAAAAGTCTCTCACGGCCGTAGTGCGCGTGCGCGAGCTGTTGCGCCCTCCCGCGAGAGGAAGCTGTGTGCTTGGTTCCGGAGTGGTGTCCGCCGGTTGCGGGAAACTAAGTCCTGCCGCTGCACCATGACGTCCGTGGGGACCCTCGCCTTCGATGAATATGGGCGCCCCTTCCTCATCATCAAGGACCAGGACCGCAAGTCCCGTCTTATGGGACTCGAAGCCCTCAAGGTAACGGACCCGGGACACACTTGGCGGTGGGCTGAGGGGAGGCGGCGGCGCCCGGGGCTCTGCGCCTGCGCGAGCTTAGGCGGGGCGCTGCCATGTGCTCCCTGGAAAGGTCGAGAACCTGCTTCTGCGAGGAGTCCCTGGGGTCTCCAGCTACGCACCCCGCTCTCTGGGCGCGGAAGAGGCCGGCATGCGAGCCTTGAGTCGGAACGTGGGGGTTGGGGCGGGCCCCGAGCGCCCAGCAGAGTTGGGTGGGGCGGCTTCGCTTCCGTCTGCCCGAGAAGCCGGACCCCTTACTCCCGACCCGTGCGGCCCCTCAAGCCTAGTCTTACCGCCCTGCGTGCCAGTCGAGGGGTCAGAGAAAGCCGGGCGCGGAGGCTCACCATGGGATCCCAGCACCTTGAGGGGCCGAGGCGGGAAGATCGCCTGGGGCCGGGAGTTCGAGCCCGCAGTGAGCTGTGGTCGCGCCGCTGCACGCCAACCTGGGAGCAGAGCAAGGCCTTCTCTAAAGATAAAGAAATTTTCAGTCACCTGTTGGGTCTAGGCTTCTCACTCTGCAGGTCGTGTGCCCGCCGCGGGCCTTTGGTGTTTTTTGTCTCTCGTGAAGGTTTGGTCATTTGCAAAGTGTCTCGTTTCCGAGTGTCTTTCTTCGCGGCCTCCTCCTGGATGCGGCGCCGCAAAAGTGAACGTGTGCCCTTGAGGAAGAAAGTAACTACAGCGAGAGTGAAACACGGACTTGGAGCCGCAATCCAGGGCGGTGTGTGGTCAGAAGGACGAGTTAGGGGAAGGGATGCGGCGAGCGCGGAGGGAGCTCTCACACTTGTGATGGAGGGTCCGCGTGGAGGGAGCTCCTCGTACTTGTGATGGAGGGTGGGTAGCACTGATGGGGTAGGGTCGTTTGAGTGGGAGGGAGTTTGCGTTCTAGAGAGGAAACAGTAAAAGTACTTGGGCATCCCGTTAAGGGCCGTCCCATTTTCATGGAGCAGGGTCTACTTAGGTTACGGTAGCTACTATGAAGGTTGGAGCCGTTGGGTGCCCCGCGTGGGAATCAGGACCATACCCCTGGAGAAGGAGGGCAGCCATCCACGGGGTTTGGAGCAGAGTTTTAAGTGGAGCTACACTCTACACCTTGGGATGTATGAGGTGGACTGAAGGGCATAGGAAGGCCAGTGGAGTTAAAGAAACCACCAGTGCAGGGGTGAAAGGATCATCCGAACACAAGTGTTGGCGGAGAAAATGCAGAGGAAGAGACACCTTAGGGTTGCTGTAAAGTGAGTCCATACATTTATTATGTGTGTAGGCCATGCCACCAAGCCCCTGGTGTCCCTCTTCACTTAGTGTCTTGTTGTTTCACTTATACAAACTTAGAGACAACACAGCTCTCCCACAACACTTTGTTAGATTTAGGACAAGCTAAGCAACCTCTCTAACCTCATTTCCCAGTGGAGATGATGGAAGTTTCAAGCTACTTTTATGACATATTCAATTCTGTTTTTCACCTAAAGGAATCTGCAGAGAAAGTAACGTTCGGGCCAGGTGCAGTGGCTCACAGCTATAATCCTACCTCTTTGGGAGACCAGGCAGGAGGATCACTTGAGCCTGGGAGTTCAAGAGCAGCTTGGGCAATATAGCACAACCTTGCCTCTACAAAAAAATTTGCTGAGGATGGTGATGCCTACCTGTAGTTTCAGCTACTGGGAAGGCTGAAGCAGAAGAATCACCTGAGCACAGGAAGTCAAGGCTCATTGTGCCACTGCACTCCAGCCTGGACAACAGAGTGAGACCCCTGACCCCTCCCCCAAGAAAAAAGAAAAAGGAAAGAAGATAGCATTCAGTACACACACAATATAACAATTTAAGCTACTGATTATTTTGCATCAGCCACTTTGTTCTGACTACACTCATTTTTGCACATTGCCCTCAATCTAAGATATTATTTTACAGAATTGGAATCTTGTGCACAGGGCAGTTTTCTCCTTTTCAACCTGTTCTACTGAAGAGCTGAGCGGGCCATGAGTCAAAACCAGTGGTCTAGAGCGGCATTCTCAGCCTTGGCATCATTGACATTAGGATCAGATCATTCTTTATTGTATGGCCCTGTCCTGTGTAGAATTTAACAACGTCTTGGGCCCCTGTCTACTACAAGCCAGTAACACCCCCTCCCCATTTGTGAAGACCAAAAATGTCTCCATATGGTGTCAGGTGTCTCCTGAAGAACAAAGTTACCCACAGTTAACCACATCGTTACAATGATTAACCTTTAAATATTCCATTATGTAGCTGGGCACAGTGGCTCACACCTGTAATCCTAGCACTTTTGGAGGCAGAGGTGAGAGAATTGCCTGAGCCCAAGGGTTCCAGACCAGCCTGGGCAACTTGGTGACACCGCTTCTCCACAATAAATAAATAAATAAAAATTAGCCAGACGCAGTGATGCATGCCTGTAGTTGCAGCTATTTGGAAAACTGAGGCAGAAAGATCACCTGAGCTCAGCAGGTCGAGGCTGCAGTAGCCGTGAGAATGCGTGCCACTGAACTCCAACCTGGGCAACAGAGTGAGACTCCAAATCAAAAAAAAATTTTGATCTATTATACAGATATATCATTCGAAGTGTATTTTAAGTATTGCCAATATTTTCGCAGACCTGATGAAATTTGTATCTTCCATAACCTGCCAGATGGGGTGACTTTGGAAGGCTTCACTGAACATGTGTTTTTGAACTACTTTGAAAAGTTGGTTGGTGGCCGGGCACGGTGGCTCAGCCTGTAATCCCAGCACTTTGGGAGGCCGAGGCGAGAGGATTGCCTGAGCCCACGCGTTCAAGACCCACCTGGGCAACTTGATGAGCCCTCGTCTCTAAAATAAATCAGAAAAATTAGCCAGACATGCTAGCGGGCACCTGTAGTTCCGGCTACTTGGAAGACTGAGGTGGAAGGATCGCAGGAACCCAACAGGTTGAGGCTGTGGTGGCCAGGAGCATGCCACTGCCCTCTAGCCTGGATAACAGAGTGAGACTCCAACTCAAAAAAAAAAGAAAGAAAAGTTGGTTGGGATTTTTGAAGAGTGGAGAGCCTTCTGTGCATCAGGACTTTAGGGAGCAGAAAATTGGTTTGGGGAGTGAGCATAGACCATCCTCACTGGAGGGTGTAAGTCTCATTGTGTTAGAGAGCTTTGAAGAAAAAACTGAATCTTTTGGACTTGAGCATTGAGACACTGGGGAGTTGCCTTTGGGACTGGCAAGTAACAATGTTTGAGAAAAGGAAGGAGACATTTGGAGGAAATACAGGCCTAATTGTGTGTGGAAACAGAAGGATGTTGTCTGACTTTGCTTATCTTTAGTGTTTTGGTACCATTGACCTGAATTGTGGGGAGTGGGGACCAGAGTGTTCCACCAGGAAGATTGCTTGCCATAACTTACATTCCCTGAGTTCCAAGAACATCTCCCCAAATTAATCTGTCCAGATGTTGGGAGTTTATTTTTCTAAAATGTGGAAATAGGTCCAGGGCTTGTTTGGACAGTAAAACGTGAGCATTTAAACCTCTTTAAGAACTGGATGCTCTGGGTGAGCACCCTCTGAGTATTGAGGCTCTGCAGTTTAGAGATACATACTTGGTCCCTGATCTCAAAAAACCTCCAGATAGCTTGATTGAAGAGCTACCATATAGGAAAAATTGAAGGCAACAATAAAAGAGATGTCTTATATAAGCCAGGACTTGGACATCTTGTTGGGTAAAGGACACAGTTCTTTTGTTCTTGTCATTTAGAGCCTTAAAGGCAGTTGTGAATCAATTCATTATTGTATTTTGCCTTAAAGATGCAGGCAGTACTTGGCTTAGGAAAGAGTTGTGTACTAAAAGTGTATAACCCAAAACAAAGCAGGCTAAATTCCCAGGTCAGCCAACAAAAGTCCTGTGTGTTCCATAATGTAACTGACCACAGTGCCTTGCTTGACGCTTCTCCTTTCTGGAAACGTATAGAACCAGAAAGAGAAGGAAGAAGAAAGTTTTCTTCTACTTTCCCAAGCAGCGGGGCAAAGTGTATTTTGGCATCTCTCCTGTTTGCCAATTCCCTATCTCTTTTACTTTCTGCCTCTTTATTCCTCTTTTAAAAAAAAAATAGTTTACACCTGTCATTCAGTTAAGTAGCTAGCTGTGGTAAGGAAAAAATACCAGGTATCTTATTTATTCTAATATCTCTGATAACTACTCCCTTAAGGTCAGTTGCTAACTTTGATCTATAAACATAATTACTGGAATTCCAGGTGGGTAAGGAAGGATTTTTTAGGGCAAGAGATCCAACAGGTTAAGACAGGAATCTGCCTCATTATGTGCCCATACAGAATCACTAATACTAAATTCTTAGCCACTTTCCCGAACTTTCAAAAACTGGTCTTTCTTTA